AGGAGGCATGAGGGAAAAATATGCCAGGTAGAAAGACCATCCGGGTATTCTCAGACAGGCCAGGTTAGCTGGAGTAAATGGAGGTAGAGGAACGTGTGCCCAGGAGTCGCCAGGAGGGAAGGCAGGGTCAGAACTACCCCATAGGAAACATTTAGCTGGGATGCAATGCACCAACAAGGGGCAGAGATCCTGGTCAAGGGACACAGTTTTCTTTCGAAAAATTCAGGGAATACAGTTTTTATTCCTAATTTTATGATTATATAGCACTATTACTGGAGTACATGAGAAAGATCTGTTTTTATTTGCTTGAAGATGAGTAAAAGGGAAACACCACCATTATCACATCTGCAATAATTTGGTGGGCAATTTGATCAACTTGGGACTAGGATGTAGAGACCACAGGTAATATCCTATGTACATAAATGGAGAGTCCCTCTGACGAATTATCATCGTCATCATCATCACCATCAATATGTTACCATGAAGATCTTGGAGAAATCTGTTTAGAAGTGAATTTTAACAGTAAAGACCCTAATCAAATCAAATCATACCGAAAAGCACTTACGGAACAACTATCACGCTTGAGACACACAATCTATAAGTTGTGGCAATTTAACTTTGAGGCAGAAGTTGCCTTGATGATTTGATGTGTTAGAAAACAACTTTTGTATGGCTGCCCCAACAACAGGATGGATTCCAGTTGCACAAGATGTCAAAGGCTGTGTGAATATGGAGATAACTGGCTCCAAGCGAATGTCTCTGGTTTCCACATTGCTCAGATCCTCTGCCAGAGCAACATATTGAGTCTCGATTTTCCATTGCAAAATATTCCTGATAATTTCAAACAGAAATTGTATTTGTTTATTTTTCATTGTTGTCCTCAGTAAGAGGTGGGTGTTTAGAGTGGACCAAATTAGTAACTGACAATCACTTATGGGATTCTGTCACTGGCTGGTTAGCTTGTTCTCACAAATCCACTTTTACTCCCCATGCTGAATGGGGACATTATTCACCTACAGTATGACCTACGATAGCATTGGTTTCTACTCCCTGCAACGCATGCTAGCGCTTTCTACGCTACGCTGTTGGACTCAACTTCTTTCCTCTTCCCTTGGCCACCATTCTAATCCCCTCAGATCTACTCCTGTCATACACGTATTACCCCACATTCCTGTTTCTACTGAATGGGCTGATGTACAGTGGTTTACGGGCACATCTATGTGCACGTATGGGTGAGCTGCTATCCTGAAAGCACGTGATGCCCAACTTTGGCTTACCCGTGCACACACATCACTTGTAGGGTTTCCACTCTACTCAAAATTAAAACCCACCTCCCTATAGACAACACTCCAGGGCTTTAACATAATCTCATGGAATCAGTAAAGAGTACAATCATTAGATTCTGTACTTCCAACCTATATTGGCATTTAGTAGTTGGGAGGTTATTTGTGACCCTAAACACAGATACAATGTTTTACTTGTTTTGCCATTGTAATGAATGTAAACAATTTATATACAGATTAATTTACTGGCTAAATTTGTGCATTTCTTGAAAATTCACGTATCAAATAATGTAATTTTTTTAAAGATTTTACTTATTTATTTGACACACACAGAGAGAGAGAGAGAGCACAAGCAGGGGGTGCAACAGGCAGAGGGAGAAGCAGGCTCCCCGAGGAGCAGGGAGCCCGATGTGGGGCTTGATCCCAGGACCCTGGGATCATGACCTGAGCTGAAGGCAGTAGCTTAACCAACTGAGCCACCCAGGTGCCCCAGATAATGTAATTTCTTGACAATTCAAATCCATCATCAGTTTAGGTTACAAGGGTGGATATTTGAAAGGGTCTGTAACTCCCTTCCTTTCCTCTCTCCAGTTTTTGTCAGTCTTCTCTTGTAATTATTGATATTCTGCTTTTTGCATAATTTAGAGTAATCCTTTGATAAACTTAATAATAACTTTTCTTCGACATTGCCATTTGCAAAGCCCTTGTATGCTCAAAAACCAAGAAGGAAATTGGCATTTATTTGCTTTCTTTGGTTCCTTCTGCTTTTATTGTCTCAGACCGTCTGATTTTATCACCAGGTAGCTTGTCTGTGTGTGCGAGAGTAAGCCAGGCCAGAGGAGTCTCGCTCCACTTTTTTGGCGTATTTCTTCTCTCTGCGGCATATGTAACTCCAGACTCATTTTTTTCAATGTAGGATCTGTAAATCCTTCAGAAGCAGCCATTCAGTGACGAGGTCTAGCCTCTCTAAGAATGTCATTGATTTAGGGGTAGTGATGGCATTTTGACCAGAGCTGTGTATGCATGCTGGGAGCTGGGAAGAAGTATGTGAAATATGGTCAGAGGAAGGAGGATCTTGACTACTAAACATGGGAGCTCCTGGGTATTTTTTATTAAAGCAACGCTCAGTAAGTAGAAGTGAAGACCAGTAGAGGCTGGAGGAAAGAGCCTCTGAAGATAGAGAGATCAGTTAGGAAACTTCTGGAAATCAGGTGTAGAATGACCCCCCCCTCTTCCATGCTCGCAGACCATCAAGAGCCACTCAGTACTAAACAAACTGGTAAAGTGAGATGGACAACTGCTACTTTGCCCCATAACGCAAGGCAGCTTGCCATGGTCAGAGGAGTCCACAGGTCTGATACATGAGACTCCAAAGCATCAGACTCTTACAGGCAGGAGGCAGCTGTGGACAAAAGGCATGAGGGCTGGGAGCTCACATCATTTGGAGGGATTTCTCTTGACTCTCCTGGGCAGAAATCGGGGAAACTGCAACATCTTATGGTCTCCTAACCTAGAGGACAGGGCTGACAGAATGAAGGAGAAATAACCCCTAAGTATTGTGAGGCTTTTTAGCTTACTCAAATGTTTTCTTCTTTTCCTCTGGGAGAAGATCAAAATAACTAAACTGTATATATATTATGTAACCCAAAAGGTTTACTTTCTAAAATGAATGTTGGTTAAATGACTCATTGCATGAATTTTAGAAAAAACAGAAATTACACAAATGTACTCCTGTGATGTGAAAACATGTTAAACTGTCCACATTATTTAGAACTATAAAAAGGTATATAAAGTCTTGGATTCCCAAGAGGGAAGAATCATATGGTCAAATGAGGACGTGTAAATTATTATCCATTGTTATATGAATGTAAAACAAAGTTTTATTTGAATTTTCACCAATTGGAGATATTCGAGATGATCTGACTTCAAATGTTGCTATGGAAAGGAAATGACGTTTAGTCTGGTGACTGGCAGGTAGCACCTCAAAGACATAAGCAAGTCTCCTCCCCAGCAGTTGCAGATATTGATTTTCCAAAAAGCTTTTTTGCAAATGGTCAAATGGGAATAATTAATTTGGAGATAATTATTCTCCTGAGCCCTGATGGGTTGGTTAGCTAGTGTGTAAGTATGAATAATCAATGTTTAATACTCTACAATGTGACTACTGGAGTAAAATTTTGAATAAGAGTCATATAAACATTTTACATCTATTATTAAAGAAAGATGTCATGAGAAAGTCAAGTGTTTACATATAATATTTCATAAAGAGAAAATTAATAACCTTTTAAAAAAATTAAAGTTCTGTAGCATGTGCTAAACATTTTAAGTTAATTGCACATTTTAAGTTTTGCATCATAGTTCAGTTCTAAAATCCCATTTTAAGTTCAAATAGAAAACATATGTTTTCATGCTATTCTGTGAAAAGAGATGGTATATTTTTAAAAAATCATTTGTTGTCTAATTTCCCCAATGTTGCAAAGAGTATATTGGAGTAATTCTGAAATGGTTCTTATTTGTAACATTCAAGATTGTGATCAATGTTTTCAGCATTATTGTTAGCACTTCATTGTACTGCTGCTTTTCCTGGGAGGTGAGTATAATTTTGCCACCGTTTAAGTGTATCTATTGGAAACTGAGAGCCTCACTTAAAATTTATCATGTCTTCAAACAAAAATTTGTCATTTAAAGTCACATTGCAGAATATTATTGCTCAGAATACCTTTGTTTTTTATGGATAATTCATAGAAGAAAAAAATAAAGGCTGAGGAAAGCACTTCTCCTGGGCTTAGTTAGAATAAAGACATTCCATAACATCTGGCATAGACCACGTGATTTCACTTGAGTTTTAGGTCATTTGGATTCTTGCAGCAATTTCCCCTCACAACTGCTAGACCAAGTACAAAATATCTAATTCTTTTTGGCTTTAGTTTGTTTCGGTACTAACCGGTCCCTGAAGCGAGGTGATCACAGTGACAGTGGGTTAGTTATCTTCCTCGGGGCTGAGGAACAACTTTGTCTTATTTGTCCTGGGATCCTGATTGCCTTGCTCAGGGGTGGGGACACAGTGCGTCCGAAAACTCCATAAACCAAAGAAACGAAGGAGGTGACAGTAAACTGATGCCTAATTTAAATAGCTTTAGTGACACTGTTCAACAAGGTTAGCACTGGCCCGCCATCCCATGGACCCCACTGACTCTATGCCACCCAGATCAGTGAGGGAAGCCAGCATGCCCTTCCATCATCAATCCAGACAGTCAGAATAAAATGGGTACTTTTCATTTCAAGACGTACTGTGGATATCTGGCTGCTGAATGGCAGCACCTTAAAAATGTAATAGAAACTGAAGAGATATTTATTTTAAGTACTCTTTGGGCTCAATAGATCTCACCCTGCAAACTGAATCTCAGAAAAATCCAGTTGCTTCCCACCATTGCCCATCCACTCAGCAAGCTCAGGGCTAGCATGAGAATCTGCTTTGCTAAAGACCATGACTTTGAACAGTCATCCCAGAAATATGATTTTGTTAACAATTAAGTTAGCAAATATGTGCAACATTTAACAAATAATAAAATTTTTAAATGCCACCGAGTTCTAAGGCTGCAGAAATCACTCTCAGTAAAAACGCGGACTAAAATTCCAAAGGTCGGCAGCAACTCTCTTACTGTGCAATTAGAACATATGTTCAAACCTGCAAATATATTTGTGGTTACTTCCTACCTTAAACACATTGATAGGGAGATCAATGACCACATAGATAAGGTCTCCAAGGGCAAGGCTGGCTATCAGCGCGTTGGGGCCATTCCTCATACACTTGTTCTGGTAAATGATCCTGAGCAGAGTTGCATTCCCCACCATTCCCACGATGAAAATAGTACAAGATATCACAGTGTTAATGTATTTGAAAGCTGAAGTAATCTTAGTCTGCTGCGGGCAGTACTTGTGCATTGAACCATTGCTAGGTAGGGCCAAATTAGTGGGTCGATGAGTGGTAACCAGGAAGTTGAGTTCTGTCCCATGAAAAATGGTGAAGTCATCCACTGGAGTGCTTACGTTTGTGCTGTAGCTCTCAGGATGATCACTGATTACACATCCAACCAGCGCTACCCAAAAGGCCACCTTGAGGCAAAAGGTTTCCATCGCGATGCAAATTTGAGGAAATGTCTCTTATTGTGTTGCCTTTATACCCTCACTTTTTTTTTTTCACCTGGAAAAGAAAGGAGGAAAAATAATTTGGTTACAAAATCCAGCTGCCAATTAAATTGTAGTCAATGATTCTTTATTACTTCAAGTAAAAAGTAGTGTATATTTGGTAATTGGATAAGATCATCTGTGTCAGGTTATCCCATGGCGGGAAAAACAAAGAGAAGACCAAAGCTCCATTATGGCAAATTCTCTATCTCTGTCTCTGTCTCTGTCCCTCTCTCTCTGTGTCTCTGCCTCCCCTTTCCCTCTCTCATCTCCATCCATAGCTATCCTTATATCTAGATTATAATACGGATGAGGATATGCCGCTTTTTCCTTTAGTAGATAAAAAGTTAGTTTTTTTCTCTCCGTTACACCTAGGCTGATAAGAACCGGAATTACAAAAATCTTCAAGAGTTGAGATACAAAATTTTATTTATTAATGGAAGAGAAAAGGCATTATTTGCCAAGTAGAACTCACATGGTATTAATTCTAAAAATCGCCCAATTCTGTAATTCAATATTCCAAAATGGGTTCTGTTTTGCACATGGTAAATATGGATGTGGGAATAAAATACAGCACAGGCAGCCATTTAAAGTGTTATAAAATGCTCTTTTGAAATCAGAACTCTGGTGAACACCATCAATACATTTAACAATCTTCGTTTCAATTAAAAATTATATAATTGATAAAGACAAAATATTTATTTTATTGAAAATCTTGATGAATAATGGGTACAATCCACCTTTTTGACAGGAACATTTTTTCTTTTCCATTCCTCAGAAATTATTATTACAATATTTGCCAATGAGTGAAACTGGGAGTAGTGGCTTTCTCAGGCCAGCCACAGTATTTGGCTTTCCAAGGGACATCTGTCCCATGCTCTCTTTTAAACATCCTATGTAGCTACATTTATAAGGCCCACTGCACCGAGCACTTGACATGCATAGTGCCATCTAATGCATACCATGCTCCTGTGAAGCCGATACACAGTTCCGTTATAAACACAGCGAACCAGAGGCTCAGTAAGGGCAAGCAGCTTGTCAGGTCCACAGAGGGTAGTGGAAATGTTGATTGTAAGGCAGGTTAGTGTGACTCTGAGCCTGAGCTCTTAGCCACTAGACCACACTCTCTCTCATTCTCTTGCGTTCTTAGCGCTAAAATGTTTGAACGGAGTCTCCAGAGTTTTGATGAAGCAATAGGCTCGGGAGGGCGATTACATGTTTTCGAAAGATCATTTGTGGTTTCTGCTTAATTGACTTGCAGAGAGCAAGTGGTCCTTCTTGCTCAGAAAGTCTAGGTTTCTACTTTAATCCTTAAAGGAAAGATGTTGCGGAAAATGAGGGGGTTGGTGGTAACACAGTAATCAAAGGTAAATAAAAAATGGCTCCTCCCATTTAAATATTTTGTACATTTTCTTCCCCATGAGTTTTTAATGATTCTTTAAATGAAGACCCATAAGCTCATTAATGCAGTGGCGTGTGTCTATGGTGTATATGTCCAAGTCATAATTTAACTTTTTTAAAAATTGTGTCCTTTTTCTTGGTCTATTTATGGTTGGTATTAACCACTTTTAGGAATTTTGACAATTGTTTTGGGAAATCAATAGAGCTTACGTTTAGACAATATACAGATGATATAAGATTTATTCAGTTTGTATAGAAGGTCTGAAGTAGGTACAAGGTGCAAATACCATACACTTTTGCCTTCGCCTGAGATTTTTCCCGGGAACCTGAAACAATAATGACATTGTATATATATTAATAATTTATTATATATGCATCTGACTTGAGCTTTACAACTCTAGGTAGGCAGGGGCAATATTCCCATTTTAATTGGGAAATTGAGTCTTGAAGAAGTTAAGACTTCATGGCCAAGAAGGGGCAGGACAGGTATAATGCCTCACTTTGCTTAATTATAAGTAGTTTGCCATTGTTTCCTGCTTTTTGCAGTTTGGAGTGAATATTTGACTGAATGTTGATAGACCCACAAAAATGCCACTACTTGCATTCCACAGTGGAGACCAGGACTCAAAGAACAAAGCATATCATCATTCTCCTTTTTAGATCACAGTTATGGGAGAAAAGAAATCCTTCAATACCTTGTGCTATTTGATGGCTAAAGCCTCCCACTTCCCCAGTTGGAATGGACCCTTCAGTAATGTTTCCTTAAAAATAAGAGAGAAGGCCTTTACTGGAAATGGAGTGGCTCTTTGCCCAGTAGAGTCCACTAGAAGAATATTTAGTGAACTGACCTGGCTATCATGGGTGATTATGACACTCAGGAAAGGTACCACTATAGTGTCTGAACATTAGCATGATGGTTTGCTTTCATCAGCTGATTATGCAGGAGGTAAAGGGGCCAGGGCTGTGGGTTCTTACCAAGGTGTGAGCTAGCTACCACCAAAACCACTTTCCTTCCTCCTCCAACAATGACACCACCACATCATTTCTGATGACATCTCCATCAGCTCTCTGCATGTATTAAGCTGCAGAGCTAAGGGATACTTGGCAAAAGTATGTGGGTATCATATTATCATTGGGTGAAAAATACAAAACCAAACAAAAAAAAAGCCTCTCAAATGCATGTTCCTCCAAGGATGAATCTGTAGCCGTTTTCCATGGATCTAAGCCAAGCTGTGCTTGGAACCCTCAGTCATAATCAGACCTAGTTCTCTAGTGAAGCATCTCAGGTTCAGCCCAAGGTTTATAGATTCAGCATTCTTGGAATTTGGTGGAGTTCAAAAGCTATTATTAAGGAAGAGGACTGAATCCTTAGGCTTACACTGTAAGCATTTAACATCTTGGATTCTCAGGATTAAAGTTCGCCTATATAATTAGTAGTTTGGAAATTCCAACCTTACTGAAATGGCATAAATTTAAAGCAGGTAATTTACTGAAATGACTGCCAAGGTATTTCTCAATTAATTAACACTTAGCACAGAGGGGGTACTAGGTCGGAGGGGGGGAACATCTACAGGAGGAGATAAAAAAAAAAAAAAACCCAAACAAATAAACCAGAAACTTTTTACTAGTTTTCCGTGGGTTCTGCTCTCTGGGTAATAAATAGCAACTGCTCTTACTGACGACGCCTGACTATAATATGCCTCTCACCCCACCCCCTCCGCCGCCAACTCTATCCCGGAACTCTATTAGGATGGTGTAAACAGAGGCTGATTATCTAGAAACAGCCTTTGTTTTCTGCACGTGAAACGCAACAAGTGCCCTTTAAAGGAGAGCACAGAACAAAACGCCCAGACCTTTGCAGGCAGGTTTCCAAACTAGCCGCCCTGGGGGTTTTCCAAAACACAGCAGTCCCTCACACCGAGTGCCCTTGGCTACCCTTGGCGTACCCCGGGTGTGCGGGGAGGAGAAGCAGGCGAGTCCGAAAAGGCTGCGAGGCAAACTTCACAAGTAGGCTTTGGAGCCACCGACAAGGGCGTGATGTTCCACAAAGTTCTCGCATGCTTGGGAAAAAGGGAGACCCAGCGAGAACCGTTGGTTTTCCTCTGACTAAAAATCCGAATCCCGCCCGGGGAGGCTGGGGGGGCTTTCGATCAGTCCCTTCAATCCCCAAACATTTCCGGAGCGCGCCCTTCCCGGGGAGGTGCCCGCCCCGCCACGCGCCCTTGGGCAGGTGGGTGCCAGCCCCTGTGCGGAGGGTCGCCAAGCCGTAGGGCGCCGGGCGTAAAGGCGCCGGGCTCGCCTCTCCTCCCAGCCGAGGTGCCCAGGCGGCGCACCCCCCACTCCCACCCCCTTCCCGGCTCCCTGAGAGGAAAGAGTTGCACCGACCGTGGAGCTTGGCGGGCTCAGACAGCTGCGCGCACCCGGGCGGGAGGAAGCGGAGCCGGCGAGGGTGGGTGGTGGACGTCCCCCCGCAGCGGCGGCCCGGGAGGCGCAGCTGCCTCCGCTTCAGAAAGCTTCCTGGGCACGGCTTCTCCCGGGAGGTCTTCCCGAGCCTCCAGCCTCTGGCCACCGGGTGGGACGGAGCCTCTCCACCTCCTGCACGCAATCGCCAGACCAAAGGGATGACTGTACGCGCGCGCGCGAAAGCTCGCAGAAAAAGAAAACTCCAGGGGAACACGCCTCCCGTCTGTCCTCCCCTTCTCCTCGAAACACTCCCAGACCGTCTACTCCACTCTGGGACAGCAAGACCGTCCTAACCTTCCAACCCTCCCAAGGCTGCCACTATAAAGCGCAAAGCCGCCGCCCCCTCCCAGGCCCTCAAGGGCAAGAGTCTTTTAACTCTTTCCTTCCCGAAATAAAGGGGGGTTTGGCAATCGAAGGAGGAGCGTTTTACCGACAAGACTCAGAACTGAGGAGGGCCTTGCTGAAAAACCCATCCCCTTCACAGTAAGTCCAGGCAGATTTGATCCGCGAGGGAAGGACAACAGCTAGAGCCAGGGTCCCAGGGTAGGGCGGTCTCCTCTGCATTCCCTGCCTCTTGGCTTGGCTTATATGCCCCCTCTTAAGCTTATCGCATGTTCAAGAGCCACCTTAGACAGCAGTTGACTGGATCAAATTTTGCTTCTATCTCGTCTCTAGAAGCCTGCACCCCAAGGCTCCGTACCGCTCCAGGGTAAGGCAGGAGAGTCTGTGGAAGGGTCCAGTGTGTGGCTCAGAGAAACTCGCGATTCCTCAAGAAATTCAAACACTGAGGGTGCAGACACTGCAGAAGGTGGGTCTCAGCATCTTTCCATGATAGAGTTTTATCCTAAATTGGGGAGTGGGAGAGGAGGTGAGGGACAAAGGCCACTGCTTCTGACATACAAGAAAAAATTGAGGGCTCCTTAGAGGAAGTTCTCCCTTGGAGTCCTTTAAGGCACTACTGGTGTGAGACATATTGTGGAAAGGTGAGTTTGGAGCACTGGTAACATTATATTACAGGCTGGTCTGGCTATCTACTGCAGCTAAAGAAATTCACCCTAAAACGGTAGTGGCTTGAGACAACAGCAGTCATTTACTTTACTCATGATTCTGCCATCTGAGCAGGGCTTGGCTGCGACAGCTCATCTTTGCTGG